ACTTTCTTTTACCTTTCTTTCATTGCAGATTCCATGGAAATGTCTGTTACTCATTGGCCTGTTTTGTTTGTTTGTTTGTTTGGGGGAATGTTTTTTTTTTTTTTATGTTGGGAGCTACTAAGGCCAGTTAAATATGGAGGGGGATCCAAATAGCTATTTTACTGCAGGTACAGCATTTCTTACATGAACAATTCCTATCCTTTGATTGGAATAATAATCTATAATATCAAATAGGCAAGTGGGAAGGAGAGAACACAAGGCGGCTTGACAACGCCTGCTCTTTGTTTCTTTGTCCTCATTCTGGAGTTGTTTTTGATTCTTTTTTCATTGGTAGACTGCACAGTTTCGAGTGGCCTTTTCGGGTTTCTTTTCTAGAAGGCTTGCAAATCTGACCGTGTTAATGGTTGCTTTCAGACACTAGGACAGCTTGGCAGGATTTTGCCCTTTTGTCTCTTCTGCTGATCATTTCAGTTGGAATTGGAGTGTGAGTTGATGGAAAGAAGTTTCCAGCTCATTTTTCAAATTAGGAACATGAGACCACTGTGTGTGGGTAAATGTTTAAAAACCAGCTCTCTGGGGGTGGGAGTCTTCGCTAATTTCTGCGGTGTAAATACTCCCCCCAGGGCTGATTTCAAGATACCAACAAGATGTTCCTGAATGCAGAGTTGGAAAGAAATGCACTGTAGCTAACCATTATGGAATCCGTCCACCACATACAAAAACCGTAACCCCGAAGTCATGGTAAAATGTAGTAAATAGTTATAAAGTGATGAGTTTTGAGTATTTATTACTTATGTTTTTAAAGAAAACTTATTAAATGTTTAGTTTAATTTTTAACAATGGCTTTGTTGAACAACAAGCTCTCAAAGCTCCTGGAAAGGTAACCACTGGTTTTAACACATCAACTGGGACCCAGAGAAGTCACTGTCTCACTGAAGTATCAATGAATGAATGAGTTGGCAGAACTGTTTCTAAAAACCAAGTTTCTCTAGGAAGATTGACTTATTAATATTTCTGCTTATTCATTTGTCATTTTTTATTGCATGCTCTAATGATCTTGTGAAAGGGGTTTAGGACTGTTACAGGCTGTTAATTGTCTATTGAGACAATAACAGAATATCTGAATATAATTGTAATCAAGAATAAAAGTGTGGAAAGCAGATTCAATGTAGAACCATAAATAAATCCTGGCTTTGAGTCTTGGGCCTACTACTCACCAGTGGTGTAACCTTATGTCACTTACACACTTCTCTGGCTCCAGTTTTAGTCTCCAAGATGAGAGGCCACATGAAAATCTAATATCTCATATCTGTCTAAAATATGATTCATTATTTAGACACATCAGTTCAACAAATATTTGCTGATACCAATTATGTACACATTTGTTATGGACTCGATTCCAGGTAGAATTAAATCCAATATAATAATAGTAATTATTATTATAACAGCACCTTACATTTACGCAGAGGCTTCTAATTTGTCAAAGAGAAAGTGTACTTTGAGTCTGGAGGTTCTATGGCTCTAGGAGACCAAGACAAATCCTCATAGAATGTTAGAGAAAGAAGAATGTATTCTAAAAGAACAAACAGAACCCTTATTCCTAGGAAACGCAAGAGGTCATAACCAGGTAGTAACAAGGAATAAGGAACAAGCATTTTTTTTTGCCATGTCTATCAGTTGCTTCACTTTATCTTAACAAAAGCAAAACCGAAAACTATTTTTTTCTAATTATAAGAATTATTGTAGAAACTTTAGAAATTTTAAAGAAGTGTTAATTAAGGAAAAACTACCATATATCCAATATAATAGTCTGCTCTTCTTTACCTAATATTTTAGTATATTTTCCAAAATATTCTTGTTATTTTAATTGCTGTGTCTAATTCCATCTTTTTGGTGTACAACAATTTACTTATCTTAAATTGTTTACATTGTTGACAGTTTTTATTCTAAGGAACACTGATAAATAGCTGTGTTTACAGAAAAACATTGTACTTTGGACATATGGTTTCCAACTGTAATATTTAAGGTTTAGTAAGACAATTTTAGTAAATCATATGCTTTTGACCTTTAGCTTGTTTAATTCTGCCGATATTGCTTTGGTATTTACTTAGATTTTATGTTTCCAAACATTAGGAGGAACAGTTTGCCTGAATCCTTCAATATGATATATTTGAATTAGAAATAGTATCAATGTTTTCATATTATTTCAAGTAGACATGATAAATTGTATGGTTAATTTTTTTTCACTTTCTATGGGCAGTAGCTTCTAGTACAGGATTTTTTGTTTAGAAAGTACTCAATAAATGTTCAATACATTAAAAGATTCAGGCTAATTTGGGATAAGCAAAAACATTTGAGAAGAATTTAAGAAAAAAAAAACAACAACACTTCTCCATTCATGGTAATAGCTTTCATTTTCATGAGGAGAGATGACAGCCAAGCACAGTTCAGGAATTCTGATGGTTAAATGAGAATTATGAAATGATGTGTGTTGTTGCTTTAATTCACCGGCATGAGAAACCATGAGTCTAATAGTTATTTGATTAAATGTTAATGAGATCTACTAAATTGACCCAACTCTTACTTTTATGTATTAGATTTATGTCAGTTAAAACAAGATGAGTTTTACCTCTTTCCTTCTTTAACATCTTTGTGTCAACATCTGCTTACAAGGGAAGTGTTGTTACTACCCTGGTTATTTAAATATTAATGACTTCCATTAAAGGGAGCTGGAGGTTTGCAGCAGGAAGATGGAGAAATTAGTTGGCCTGATTAGTTTCTTTCTGCCACCAGGAAAAAACAAAACCTCTTACTGGAAGAGCTTCTTCCAGTATTTTTTTAATTCCACAGATTTTTTTTTTCCTGAACCAATTAGAGAGTAAGATTCTTAATTTTAAGGATTCCTTGAAAGTAGTTACGTTATTAAAACAGTGTAACAAGTTCATATAATTAAAAAAAATATTTTGGGGCGCCTGGGTGGCTCAGTTGGTTGGACGACTGCCTTCGGCTCAGGTCATAATCCTGGAGTCCCGGGATTGAGTTCCACATCGGGCTCCCTGCTCGGCGAGGGGCCTGCTTCTCCCTCTAACCCTCCCCGCTCTCATGTACTCTCTCTCTCTCTCATTCTCACTCTCTCAAAATAAATAATAAATAAATCTTTAAAAAATAAAAAATAAAAAAAAAATTAAAAAAAATATTTTATCAGCTCCATAGTGGTCACTACTCTTGGGCTTCTTGGGACTAATTTCAGGTTTTAAATTCATTTTGTTCCTTATTATAGTCACTAATAGGCAAAGCGGTTTTTTAGCTACAGATTGTATTTTGTTGGGCTTGTTTACATGAAATATGGGGAATTCTATTAAGTTAACCATGAAAGACTTGACAAGCATTGTATATTCGATCAAATTATAAATGTTTATCTTATTGGGGAAATGTGTCTAAAATTTGTTACAACCAGTATTTTCATGTTATGCCAGCTTGGGTTATGATAAGCATGTGGTAATAGATTTTTATACATTTTGTGTTTTTAAGATGTTTTAATGGCATGGTATTTTAAAGCACTATTTTAAACAGTCCAAAGCAGGCATTATATTTGCATAATTGTATATTTCTTTTTACATCCAGAAACCTGAGTAAAGTATTTATTCATGTCACGTACTTTACTTAGACTTCAGAGCTAAGAATTTAGATCATGCTTTAAATAGGAGTAGGGCAGAATAATAATGACACTGATGTCGGATCATAATACTTAGCATTAAGAATTAAGGTGAGTCAAGTGAGGCCCTTGGCCGGGGTAAAATTTAAGAGAGTGCCGAAAAACTCAATAATCATGATACATAGTATTTTAATGCGATGTTTGGGAAAAAAATCAAAATTAATGCCAAAAAAATCAATGATGAACAAAACATCAAAATTTTAGAAAAAGTTGCCAGCCAGCCCTGCCTGTACCCCTGACTCAACTTAACCTGGTGTTGGCCTTGACTGGGTTCTGCATGTCCTTGGATGAGACATTCCTTTGAGTCAGATTTTCCTTATCTAAAATTGGTGATAATCATCTTTGATTTCCTGGTCGGGTTATTAAGATAGTCAGATCAGCTGAAAACACATGGGAAAGCCCATTGTAAATACAAATTACATGTTTATATACAAGTTTAGGGAAATCATCATATAATTTTAAGCCATTATTATTATCGGCTGAGATGAATACTCTAAGCAAACAGATTCGAAGGCCCTTAAAAAGCTGTGTTCATAAAATTTGTGGTGTAGCTCTTGAGTTTATTTATCAGCTAGCTAAAGGGGCAGGGACCTATAGATAGTTGTAGGACCTTCCTTTTCTTCCTTCTTTCGTTTTTGTTCTCAGATGCAAAATTTATGATTTGTAAGAGACAGAAGAGGTAAGTGGAAATCCATTTTGTTTATTTTAAATTTCTCTGCGAAGTGCCATGGACAAGTCTCACTTTTGCTCAAGCTGTTCTACCCATCAGTGATGCCTTCCCCCTTTCTCCTGCCCATCTGGGCTCCACCCACGTTTACTCACATCCGTGACCTTGGTAAGGCCTTCCTGGGTTCCCTCAGGCTGAGATGTGTTCGCAGTCCTCCCTTCCTGTGGTAGATAAATGTCTCTATCACTCATCTGGTGATCAGTTACAGAGTCCTGTTGTCTTGAGGTTTTATCTAATCCTGCATTGAATTTACTTTTCAGACCACAGTTTTAGAAATATAAATTGTTTTTCTAGTTAGATTATAAATCCTTGAATAGCGCCTCCTTCTCCCTTAGACTCAGCACTTTGGGGTCAGCAGGGATTGGGTCTGTTTTATTCAGGTGGTATCCAAGGTGCTTATTAACAAAGGGCTTTGACATACAATGTATTTTTTTTTTTTTTTTTTTTACGGTGTACCTATTTTTTGAATGAAATAAATGAATGTCTTGTATGTAAAAAGGCTGGGTAAATATTTATTCTTTGGATTCATTTGTTGTTTTCATTCTAGGACCAGAGAGAATGGTTGGTACCATGTGGAAGGCGACTGTTTTGGTGGCTGTATTCATGTTCAGCCCTGGTGGTGATGGGCTCTTTCCCTCCTTATACAAAAAAGCTCGGGTTTCTGTACCACGTAAGGGAGACGTAGGAGAGCCATTATTTCTTACTCCCTACATTGAAGCTGGGAAATTGGAAGAAGGTAAGTTTCATAAAATCAGAAAACCACTGGTATATTTTCAACAGGTTTTTTTTTTTTTTTTTAAAGCAGTTATCTTACAGGATTCAAAATACATTCTGGTATTTTTACTCAGTTGTTTTATTTCAAATATTAATGGTTTGATGTCCTGTGTTATCAGAGTTTTAAGCTAAAATGAGAGCTTGCCAGGGACAGATTATCTAGAGGTGGAGCCCCTGCACTTCTATTTATAAAACTAGCATAGTGCCTGTCCACAACTGGGCACTTAATAAAGAGAATACTAACCTTAGAACTTCATACCTATCAGTTACTGGTTCTAAGGATTCTACATAAACTTAATGTAAGCATCTCCACAACCCAGGGAGATGTACCCACTTGACACACAAGAACACTAAAGCAGAAAAAGATTCAGTTACTTGCCAGAGTCATATGGACACCAGCTGGTAGATGCAGATTCACACCCAGACAGCCTTACTCCTTAGTCTGTGACCACAGGCACAGTGTTGGGCCCCTTTGCCTGGCAAGTTACCCAAACCTACCCAAACCTACCCAAACCTAGGCCTCAGTTTCTTCATTAACAAGATGGGCATATAATCACTTAGTCAAGTTGCAGGGATGTTAAGAATCAGATGAGAAAATGCACATGAGGACTCTTTGTAACCTGTAAATTGCTCCCTAAATATTTTTGTGTTTGCAAGTGGCTTTTTATTTAGACATTGTGGGATTTTCTATTATTACTAATAGGAAAAAGGTATTGTTTAGTATCATCAGAGACTAAAATTTACATGTCTCTGCTCTTAATGCTTCTTTATGTTTACGTAAATCACTGTGTAGGTAAGTTACTTAATCCTTCCAGACATCAGTAGGCTCCTGAACTATAAAATAGTATATAGGCAGCTACTCTGAGGTGCTATTTGTAAAAGGAATCAGAGAAATGGGGTGGTGGCTGAAGGGTGCTATGGTATCAGGAACGGTCTTTAAGAGGGTAAGAGACCATGTGTTTGCTGATAGAAATGATCCAGCAGAGGGGGGAGTTGATTGGGGTGGGGCAACTATTTCAGGGGTACTTGTTTTGTTTTGTTTTTTTAAGATTTTATTTATTTATTTATCTGAGAGAGAGAGAGAGAGCGAGCAGGTGGAGGTGCAGAGGGAGAAGCAGAGGGAGAGGGACAAGCAGACTGTGCTGAGTGCAGAGCCCAACACGAGGCTCAATCCCATGACCCTGAGATCATGCATGACCTGAGCCGAAGTCAAGAGTCAGACACTTAACCGACTGAACCACCCAGGTGCCCCAGGAGTACTTTCTTTAAGTAGATGATAGACATGGTGGCTGGCACAAAGATGGGGGCGCTTGCTTTGAAGGACTGCAGTTTATCTGTAATCACAGGTAGGAAAACCAAGTTAATGGCTGTGAGGCTGGTAAATTGGTTGATAGCAGGAGAATGTGTGGAAGTGATACTGGGTATTTTAGGGAAATAATCATTTTAAAGATCAAAAATAAGTGTATGGACTCCATAAAGAAGTTTTAAAATAAAGCAACTTTTCTTCATTTGAAATATTCCCATAGCTAATAGGATATCATCATTTTGTTTTGTTTTGTTTGCTTTAAAACCAACACATTCTTATATCTTAAGGGTGCATTTGAGTCCTGGTCACATGTCTTTTTCTGACATACATATTGACTCCATGTCTCACTATCTCTTTTCTAAGAAAAGGTGAAAAACATTGATAATGTAGTCAGTGTACATTAGTGTGCATTTGATGATGTAGTTAGAGAATGTAGTCAGTCCTTTTCTAAAAAAGATTCATTTTTACTTGATGTGGAAAATGGTGCAGGCTCATATCCCTAGACAAATATGAAGAGGCAGAATATCATCCAAATCCACCAAAATGAATCGCATGCATTCATTTTGGCTTCTTTAATAAGTGGGTACTGATGACAGATTTTGTTCATTAAAACTAAATCGAAGCAAATCATTAAGTTTAGAGATGAAAGGGAGTTCAATACTCACAACCAACCCTACCAATCCATAGATGAGGAATTCGAGACTCCGATATCTTACATGACTTGCCCAAGGAAATGCAGATAAGAATACCAGAGGTGCGTTTAGGACTCAAATTTTCTTTTTTTTTTTTTTTTTAAGTATTTATTTATTTGACAGAGAGAGACACAGCGAGACAGGGAACAGAAGCAGGGGGAGTGGGAGAGGGAGAAGCAGGCCTCCCGCCGAGGAAGAAGCCCGATGTGGGCTTGATCCCAGAACCCCGGGACCACGACCCGAGCCAAAGGCAGACGCCCAACAACTGAGCCACCCAGGCACCCCATAGGACTCAAATTTTCTGACTTCTTCTCTGTGATATGTCTGCTATAATTTATTTCCCTTTCTTTAAGACTCTTGTGCTCTTCTTTTTCTATAAGATTTTATTTATTTATTTGAGAGAGAGAGAGAGAGCACATGAGGGGTGGGGAGGGGCAGAGGGAGAGAGAGCTAAGCAGGGACCCGGATGTGGGACTTGATCCCAGGACCCCAGGATCATGACCTGAACCCAAGGCAGACACTTAACTGACTGAACCACCCAGGCGCCCCAAGACTCTTGTGCCCTTCTGATGTGACCGGATGCACACACATGAAACAATTAAGGAATACGGCAGTGAGTACTAAAACATTAAAGTATTACATTTGAGGTAGGCATGCTGGAAATTTTGAGAAGAAAACTATCCTATTGGTTGGTCCAGAAAACAATAATAGCGTAGTAGTCAAAATAGCAAATGGTTAATACTTAATAATTATATGCCCAGGACCAAGCATAGTTTCTTTTTTTTTTTTTAATATTTTATCCATCCATTTGACAGAAAGAGAAAGAGAGAGCAGACAGCACAAGCAGGGGGAGCAGCAGGCAGAGGGAGAGGGAGAAGCAGGCTCCCCACTGAGCAGGGAGTCCAACTTGGGGCTCCGTCCCAGGACCCTGGGATCATGACCTGAATGAAGGCAGATGCTTAACCGACTGGACCATCCAGGCGCCCCCCTAGCATGATTTCTATATGTAATAGGTACTCAATAAATATTTGTACAATTTAAGTTTTAAACCCAAATATGTGCCAGACATGGGTGTTACCCACACCTTAGCTTATTTAATCCTCAGAGCAACCCTAGTGAAGAAGGCATACATATTGTTCCCATTTTACAGATGAGAAAACTGAGGCCCAGAAAAATTAAGTATCTTGGTCAGGGCCATTTACAGGTAATAAGTGACAGAGGTGGAATTAAAACCTACGTCTGCTGACTCTAGAACCCGAGCTATGAGCCACGGCGCTGTGTGACTAGATCCAGACTGGAAGGCGCTAGGTGAGATTTGGGCAGATAAAGAAGGACATGTGTATACTGAGGAAAGCAGTTCCAACAGAGGCATTTGGTGAAAATGACCATGGTGGTGTGTCTGTATCATACATCTGGAAGAACCAAGTGAAAAGAATATGGAGAAGCCCATCTGAGAGACAGTCCACATCCTTCCCATTCCTGTATTTGTTGCCTACGACCATTTCACCATTGTGGTTATCAGTAGTAGCCGAGAAAGCTTCTGGGGGAGGTAGTTTTCATCTTCGGTCCTTCTGTGCCAAGTCTGATGGATCACCATCTGATGAGCAACAACATCCAAAATAGTAAATCTGATGTAAAGTCTCACTTTCTAAAGTTCTGTTACACAGTCAGAATTTTTGAATGGAATTTTAAGTGGCTGATCCAAAATCTGGTACATCTGGGTATTCAAATGCAGCCCTGATAACATAATTAAGGATAATTTTATTCATCCGCTTTACTGAAAGTTCAGGAAACTCTGGACAGATGGTCAGTTCATTCTCCTAAGTTCCTTTTGTTTATCGAGTCTGTCAAAACCTTAGGAACGTGAGTCTTAGTATCGCAATGGAACATTCTTGAGATAAATAGTAATTCACAAAAAGACAAGGGAATTTTTTATTTTTTAATCTCCCAATTAGCTGGTTTAGTTTTGTGTAATTGTAATTGCCTGTTTACTTTCTCTGCAGCTAGAATAAACTCTTAAAAACAAAATGAATAAAGGAGGCAAATTTTAAGATATTTACAGACACTGCCTTTTCACAAACTTCAAAGAATATTTTGATATTAGGTCTTTATTATTACTTATGGTCTGGCAGTGTCTTGTCTTGTACTGGAGTCTTTGTGAATGTGATGTGCGTCCTGATTAGCTGGTTCGAGTCCTTCTTTGGTCACACTCCAATCTTTTTCAAAGTGTTAATATCACGAACACTGGTGACCGCAGTAAATAATATGGAGGAAGTGAAATCACTTCAAAGAAAACCTTTTCCTTTATTTAACTGTTTTGAACATTTGTATTGTGAGTCATGGTTCCAGGAAGTAAGAAACTCCTACATCTTGGGAGTTTATTTTCCACATTCCATTAATAGGTTCTAGAAGGATGAACCAAATATCTGAAAAGATGAAGTATCATTTTAGTTGAAAGAACTTTTAATTATTTTACCGTGATTTCGTTAAAGGAAATTTAAAAATTGAAATGGGGTGAAACACTTTTTTGTGACCCAGGGAAAAGTTCTTCTAAATTCTTAAGATCTCAATAAAGGCCTGCTTTCCAGTAGCCCCTGATCTAGAAGGGAAAGCAGGAAATGTACCTGAGTAAGTAAAAGGTAGCAGATAAGCATCTTTGGAACCCTCGGTAAAGGAGGGCTGAGGGAGCATCTGCGTCATTTCAGAGCAGGCCAGTGGACCTTGTGCTGGGCTGGCCTCAGAGAGATCGATTGATTCAATCATCTCTCTCCCGTCTTCCATTCCCTTCAGCTCCTTTCTATCATATGTTTCCTTTTTCTCATTCTACTTCGACCTTTCTCATTTTTCTCTATCTTCCTTCTCGAATCCTCTCCTGCTCACTTGCCTCTCTGTGATTCACATCTCACTCATTCCCAACCCCTCCATATTCAGTTCTCTCGCCTCCTTTTTGGGGGCTTCTCTGATTTGGAGAGGATTAATAGTTTGGAGGAAAATACGTCAAAAGTGTTTTAGGTACAAAATTCCAGTTAGAAGAGAAATTAAGTCCTGGGGATATGATAATATACAGCATGGTGATATAGTTAACAATACTGTATTGCATATTTGAAAGTTGCTAGGAGAATAGATCTTAAAAGTTCTTATTATAAGAAAAAGAATTGGAACTAGGTATGGTGATGGGTATTCACTAGACATTGTGGTGACCACTTCACAATATATACAAATATCGAATTGTTAGGTTATATATCTGAAACTAATATAATGTTATATATCCATTATATCTCAATTTTTAAATGGCAAAAAAAAGAAAGAAAGAAAGAAGGAGAAAAAGAAAAAGAAAGTTTTAAAAGACTGCCCAGCCCCAGAGGGTGATTCTTCTTTGGTCTAATTGAGACCAAAGAAGGGTGGAGGAAAGCAAGGCTGCAAGGGGGAGCGGTATAGGCTGGGAGGAGGGCTGACACATACCACATTCCCCATACACTTCTCTTTTCCTTTTCTTAAAATGCTCCTCTCCCTTTCTTTTTTCTTTGCCTTTTTCTCGTGAGAAGGCTAGGTCTCTTTGGGAAGAGATGGGAAGAGCTAGAGAAGCTGGATTCAGTTATGCAATCTTCCCTGGGGGAACCGGACTAAGCCAGAAAAGCCAGAAAAAAGCAGTCTTCCAGACCGCAGGTGGGGTGGCCCTTGGGCTGGTGATAATCTTCTCTTCCCTTGCTGGCGCCCTCATTTTACGTGCAGCTTTCTTCATTTGATCCTCGAAGAAAGCCCAGGGTGGGGATGTGGGGGGGTGGGGAAATCAGTGTCCACATATTGCACAAGAGGAAAGAGAGACTCAGAGAGATAAAGCAACTTGTCAGGGAGCCTGGTCAGAATTGCAAACCGAGATCTGCCTGATTCAGAAACCCATGTTCTTCCTGTTCTGCTAGCTTAGCGGGACCCTCTGGAAACTGGTGTTGCAACCCTGCCTTTGTCCTACCATCTCCTCTGCTCCCAGGTTCTCCTTGTTCCTAATGAGCAGGTGCATTTCACAGGTAACAATAGCTGTGCTCCCTACGAGCCAGCCTCTTTTCTAACGGTTGTGCATGTATGGACTCTTATTCTCATTGACCCATGAGGTCATCCACCTTCCAAGATGAGAAACTGAAGCACAGACAGGTGAAATGATGCCCAAAGGACCACAGGGCCAGTCAGTAGCAACTTGAGGATCAGCAAAGAATGAAGGAAAGGTACTGTCTAGGTGAGAGTTTCCCTTCAAGGAGGCAGATTCATTTTTTTAAAAGAGGAACTTGCAGCCCCAATGCCATAGTGTGCTGTTAAGTTTCACAAGCGACTCTGGGGGGCGGGGCCCTGATTTGCAGCACCCATCCCTGAATATAAACATTCTTACCGTGGTTCATTGCATGCTAGCAGTGGTGTTGCTGAATGCCAAGTTCGGAAGGGATGCTAACAGTCAGCACTCCAGAGCCTATGAGCTCCAGCACCCCACTAAATGCATCTTTAGTTGGTGGCATGGGTGAAGGACGAAGCTTCCTGACCTATGCCTCTCTACTAACCAGTCTCCAACTTAATATGTGTCAGATATAAATAGCTTTTCTTGAATCATTAGATTTTACTGAGGATACTTGCTTTGTCACCACTAAGGAACCTCTCTTTACCCAGACTCTTCTTTCAGTTCCCCCTACACCCTGCCATCTATTTGTTGTTTCTTCTCCATTCTGTTCCTAATCACTGCTCCTCCTTCCACTCCCTGCCACCCATACTTTCTGACTAACTCTCTGGTCGAGAAGCAGCATAGCAGGGTGGAAGAAGGAGCAGACTCTGCAGCCTGACTGCTGGGTTTGCATCCCAGCTTTCCTTTACTAGCTGTGTGACCTTGGGCAAGTTACTTACCCTCTCTGAGCTTCAGTTCATCTGTAAAGTGGAGACAATAATTACACCTACTGCATCACGTAAAGCCCTCAGTACTGTTGCCTTTAAAGTATTAGCTCCTCTAGGGGCACCTCGGTGGCTCAGTCAGTTGAGCGTCAGACTCTTGGTTTCTGCTCAGGGTCCTGAGATTGAGCCCTGCATCTGTGGGGCTCTGGGCTCATCACAGAGTCTGCTTGTCCCTCTCCCTCTGCTCTTCCCCTTGCTCACACTCTCTCTCTCTGACAAATAAATAAAATCTTAAAAAAATAAAGTGTTTGCTCCTCTTGGTATTTTTTACTTCTGGGTGTCCTCAAGCTACCTGAGTAGTCCCTCTTTCCCCCTCCCTGTCCCTCTCCCTTTGGTGCCATAAAAAAAGCCACAACCTCTGCCCTCTACAGCTATCCTGTTGTCCTATTTGGCTTCCTCTGAGTAGCCATGAGGTCACCCCTAGTCTCACTGGCTGCCCCACCCTGCCCTCCCCAGCCTTCCCTACTGCCCACATGCGTCAGCCCATTTCCCTTAATGGAAGTGGCAGGACTTTTGCTTTCATGATAACGAGAGTGTGGAGAATATAGGTCTTCCGGAGGCTGAGAGCTACTTAGCTATGTTGTTTCTCTTGCAGCTGCCTCATGTTGGGTGACTTCTGCCCTGGCCTTCCCAGTGGCCCAAATGTGAATACCATGGTTTACTTTTTAGAGTGGAGCTGAGGATAGGTGATTTAAAAAAAAAAAAAATCTTATTATAGCTCATAAACTGTATTTGGGGACAAAAAAAAAAAAGGTTAAAAATATCACTTGTCCTTGGCTAAGTTGTAAATGTCGAATATGTGGAATGGACCAGGGCAGGCTGGAATTTGCTATAGTAAGTACCTTTGTGCCAGTCCCCTGGTAGCCTTTCTGATCACTCCATTCCAGACCTGGCCCCTGGGAGGGAGAAGATGGGCCGAGATGAAGATGACTAACACTGTATTATTTCTCTAAGCCTTGGGTAAATTTTTTCTTCCACTAGGAAAAGGAAAGAGTATGGTCCCTCCTTTCCCAGGATCGAATGTGAAGAGTTATGCTGGCTACCTCACCGTGAATAAGACCTACAACAGCAACCTTTTCTTCTGGTTCTTCCCGGCTCAGGTAGGCCGACGAGAGCGCCCTCACAGGACACTGATCCTCAGGGGCTGAGGATGCTGCCCCAGGGCAGACATGTTAGCCTACAAACAATGTCCTTTAAAAAAAAATTTTTTTTCATCTTTTAGATTTTTTTTTCTAAAAATAAGTGCCAGTGACTCTGTGTGGTGTTCTTGTTTATGTGCAGGAAACAAATGTTTGCAGGGAATGCAGGGAAGGTCCAACTTTTAAATTCCTTGCAGCCTTGTGCAGAATATTCACATTACCACCTTCTTCCTGCCACAGTCTTCTTAAATCATTCTGTTGTTGTTTTGTTCTAAAAATAGCTTGGGTAAGGATGGGCGTTAAGGAGCCAATGGATGATAAGGAATGGGCAGATTCCCAAAATGCACAGGTAATACATGTCTAAGGTTAATTGTTGGTGGATTTCCATGGCTGCTCAATCCATGGACTTTGCAGTACTAGTTCTTATTTTCATACTCACCCAGTACCCACTGAGTAGTACTTTGGGGACACAGAAGAGAGAGAATTGATTCTGGGAGCCTTTGCGGGGACAGGTAGGGAGGACTGCTGTTGTAGTATGGCATCATAGAAGACAAATCACTCACCTTCTCAGGCCCATATACACACACACAGCTGGGTATGTTTTTGTACTTTATCATTCTTACTTAGTGCATGGTGATGGCACACAATTCTTCAGCATGAACAAATCACTTTAGGCTAATGGGTACTGTCTGGGGTGAGGGGTGTGGATATTGGTAGAGGTGCTGAGATGCATAAATAAATTTTATCCCACCACAGGATAATTTTCTATTTTTATTTTCCAAATTGGATTTGGTTTAGAAACCAGAGAAAACAAAGAAAAAGCTGTCCCTAGGGAGGGTAGTATTTATATTTGCATGTGATTTGCATATAGCAGTGTTGCATATATAAAACAGTTTACTTTAGGGTAGTTTTCAAATTAAGTTGCTTTTGTTGGCATAATTGGGTTGTATTTTCTTGACCTCTCGTTTTTCGCTTTCTCAACCATGGCCTCTGCCGTGGATGACCGTGTAGTTGTGGGTGAGGAAGCATGTAAAAATTGGTGAGGAATTCCAGATGCTTTTTGGTTGGGCTCATAGTAGTCTTCAGACTGTCACCTACTCTGGGAAGACTTTCCTGGGCCCTACACAGTTTATTTCTTCCTGGTGTTACTGTTGAGTGCACAAGTGAGGTGCATAGAGCATAAAATTAAAGGAAAGAACTCACCCTCAGGATTGTATAGGTACAATGTTGGCATCCGAGTCCCCTCCAGATTCCTGCTGCTGCGTCCCATGGGTGGAACCCAACTGGGAACCAGAGGGGGAGGGAGTCCAGTCCTTGGAGCTCTGTCTACCAGGGCACAGAGCAGAGGGGAGAATGGATCTTCAGAAGCAGTGAGGGAAACATCCAAATATCCAGTACAACTATCTTAAAGAGAATCGGTATGGATTAAGCCTAGCAACATGACCCAATTCCAACAGGTGGAAATTTTTGTGTGTGTGTGTGCTCTTGGAAATCTCTTAAACTTTATGCCTTTCAGAAACCACACTATGCATGTGCATTTTTGATACCACACCTTTTTTTTTTAAAAAGATTTTATTTATTTATTCATAAGAGACAGAGACAGAGAGAGAGGCAGAGGGAGAAGCAGGCTCCCTGCTGGGCAGGGAGCCCGATGCGGGACTCGATCCCAGGATCCTGGGATCATGACCTGAGCCAAAGGCAGACGCTTAACCATCTGAGCCACCCAGGCACCTGATATCACACCTTTTAATATCATTGAATATAGGCATTTGTCGTCAACCCCTTTGTATTAGTTCTCTATTGCTGCTGTACAAATTACCACAAACTTCGTGGTTTAAACAACGCAAACTTATTATTTCACAGTTCTGCAGGTCAGAAGTCTGACACAGGCCTCCCTGGGCTAAAATTAAGGTGTCGGCAGATCTGCGGTCCTTCTGGAGGCTCTCAGGGAAGATCTGTTTCCTTGCCTTTTGCATTTTCTAGAGGCTGCTCACATTCGTTGCCTCATGGCTCCTTCCCCCGTCTTCACAGTCTGCATCAGTAGGTGGACTGAATCCTTCTCACATTGCGTCACTCTGGCCGACTGCGCGGTCACATCACCTTCTCTGACTCTTGTCTTCTGCTGCCCTCTTTTACATTTAAGGACCCTTGTGACTACATTGGGCCCAGTGGATAACCCAGGGTAATCTCCGTAATGTAAGGTCGGTTGACTAATAACCCAAATCCCATCAGCTTCCTTAATTCCAGTTACCATGTGGCTTAACCTATTCACAGAATCTGAGGATTTGGATATGGACACCTTTGTGGGGGGGGCCTTATTCTGTGCCAAATGATACTTGTGTCTAAATTTGCGATTCTTAGTATATTCTCTCTCAGTGATTCTCACAGTTTATCGTATTTGAGAATTATCTCCAAATTTCCCCAGAAACTGACTTGTAAATTCTATCAGCAAGTGATAGAATTACCAAGTGGGCCACACCTGAGAAGCCATGGTTCCAGCCTACAGGCCACCATCCTGTTTTTAGTGCTTCTGGACCCAAAGTGATCCACACCCCTTTATCCAGAAAGAAACACCTCTGGCAGCTAAACTGGTACAAATGGGGGTGGTGTATTGTCTCATGCTCCCACCTGGGTGAGGGCTGGAATGTGGGCCTGAAGCGGGGAGTGTAGTCTGTGGGGTCAGTTTTCCTCATCCTGCTCAGTGTTCCTCTAAGGCCTGCTGGGGCTCCGTCTCCCCTGAGCTCTCTGTCTCCCTTCGCCCCGAGAAACCCCACTTCCTACTTTCTCTTCTGCTTCGGTGACCGTTTCTGATACCAGGAAGTTCCCCATTGACTTCTGCATGTTGAATATCCAACAATAGTAATGACCCAGATTTGTGAAAACAGGAATTAATGGTGAGGGAAGTGGTCAAATGAAAACAAAACAAAGACTCAGTCCTTTCTTTTCTTCAGTTGCCTCTGAGCAGGGGTACAGTTTCCTCTAGAACATAGGTGGTGTAGCAAGACTGGAAAGCCGGTCAGGGAAATGGGCTTAGATTCTGTACCCTCTCCTGGTTGCCAGACTGACATCTGAACCGTCGTGGCATTAAACAGTGACTGGGCTGTTGGGGTCCCTCCCCTTAATTAAATGAAGACCTATGTCTGCATCCCCTGGCCAGATTATGCTCTTTGGGGCCCAGGACTATAGCCCAAAACACATTCTAAGATGATCCCAAAAGACAAACTCGAGGCCGCCACAAGAGGAAAGAAGAAGCTCAAGCACAGCATGTTCTATTGGAAGTGACAGGCTCAGCTTCCGAGAGGAAAGAGGCAGCATGAGAAGATGGTACCCCTGACAAGTGTCACCATGTGGCAGCCAGGATAGATGGTTCTGAGCCTTTCTTACCTGGGGAGCCCACACACAGAGCTGACATCTGCAGCCCCAGAGCAACGATTCCTGCCAAGCCAGTCGGGCTGTAAATTATGAAACAGGCCAGTTTAGGTGAAGAAGAGAAAGCATGTGAGAAGGAGAAGCAGTGATCACCCAGACAGGGAAGAGTTCCTTTCATTTGGCAGAAAGATTAGTTCGTTGCCTGTTAGAGGGCAGCAGCTGATATTATCATCAGGAGAGAAATGGCCCTTTACAAAAATTGAAGGTAGAGAAAATAAGAGAGATCCAGGAAGGATGCCACACTTGTAATACCCTCTGAGTATTTTTGGGGGATGCTGTTTCTCAAATTAGTTTTGTCTTCCTGTTATTTCTGTGAGACTCCCCTGTTATTGTATACAAATCAGTGCATAATGGATTCTAGAGCTGGAAATTGGTATGCAGTGGAGATGCAATGTGCAAGAGAAATAATAGGCGTTTTATTTCATGGGAGAAAAAGTATAATGAAGCCAATAAAAGTGTCACAATTTTAATGAGTATTGTTAATTGAACATTGACTACGTGCTAAGCACTGTGCATTTTCTTATTTAATCCTTACAATAACCACATGAAGAAGGAATTATTATCCTTGTTTAATAGATGAAGAGGATGACGGAGATTAAATAATTAGCCCCAAATTGCCCAACTAGAAATTGGCAGAACTTGAATTTAAAACTAAATGATGGAGAAATCTTTGCTCCTGATCATTGTATGTTGATCCTGAGAAAACTGGCCATGGAAGGTGCTAGACTACAGTCATTAACATGATAGCTCTTGAGTTAGTCTAGCTTGCATAAAACCTTGGCTTGTGTGTGCCAAAGGTGAGGATCAGGGTACCTACTTGAGAGCAGTTTTGAGACAAATGAGAGAATGCGGGAAAGCCTTAGACAGGAGCCTGACACGTAGTAAGTAGAGTTTCTTTTGCTATTATTATCATCATGTTTATCATTATTAGTTTTCCTGTTATTAATATAAATACTGTGCAGAACTAACTTTCCTGTTATTAATACAAATACTGTGCAGAACTAACCAGTAGCAATGTGGCAGATTAAAGAAGACAGAAAACAGGAGGCAATTCCAAATCGGAAGTTGCTGAAAGCCAGCGAAGAGTGTGGATTAATTGCTACTGGGTAAAGAAATTACAAAGTGAAACTGGGGTTTTCCACATTTAAGAAGATAAAAAAGCACACAGATTATTATTTTTTGCAATCAGAATTCTTCCCACTGGAAAAAGATACCCTGTATTTGACTTTGTCTTAAGGATATGGGAATAGAGATGATTTGTTGGATTGTTTGCCTCACATATTATGGAATCCAAACCAGAGACATTTAGAGTTAGGCCTCTGCCCCTCTACTAAGGGCCCCATCTTGCTCCTTGGGCCAAGGGGGGTGGCTGGGATTCCTGGAATCTGAATATCTGGTGACTGAGGAAGATCAATATCATATTGAGGAGTCAGCAAGGCTGGGATAGGATCAGGTAGCAGACTCTAGGAGTGACCTTTGTTTCTTGATTGCCGTGCTCCTTTGTAGTCCCCTGCCATATTGAATCAAGGCTG